ATTGGGGTGGGGAGGAGGATGGGGGCCGGCGGGGAAGAGGAGCAAATGTAGAGGTGCTCCGTGCAGCTGCATACGCTGCGTAGGCCTAAGGACGGCCCTGGCCTCCCTGTGTCCCCTGCAGCCCTGTGAGCTCTGCCAAGCGGTGGCCAAGGCTCCGGAATCCTTTCGACGCGAGAGGAAGGACTCAGGCTAGCCAGCGTCAAGGACGCCGAAGGGACACAGAGGACTCCTGCCGGGCAGGGGCAGGTTTGGGGCCAGGGGGGTCTCGTGTCCAGGAACACAGCCCAGTTTACACTCAGCAATGACCCACATCACAGGCCGCTGGCTGGTCTGTCCCAGCTCACAAGGCAGCAAATGGCAGAAAGACGCAGTTGGGTGCCCGGCCCCATTATCATTAATGACAGGCAGATGGTACACGACAAAAGCCAGCTTCCTTCCGGATGCTTCTGCAAAGGACGCTGAATTCTCTCTCCACCCCACCCTGCTCAGCTCAAGGGATTTGCAGCTCCCCACCCCCCACTAGCCCTGGCTCCTTCCCCTCCATTTCAAATTTTTGTCCATTGTATTCCCCACGGTTATTTCGCCGGGTACAAACGTGCTGAGTGATTTCAGCTGACTGCCGAGGAAAGGAGGGAGACGGGCGTATGTTTCTCCTTCCCCGTCTCTGCCTTTGAATTCCGCCTAGTATCCGCCAGCAGGGCAATTAGCAAGAACACGGGCTCAGCCCTGTAATGAGCAAGTCGTCTTCTCTGCAGATTATTTTAGTAACAATCAAGCTCCCTTCTGGAGAGTCTATTGAAATGACCCGCTGCCTTGGGCGCACAGACGGGTCTCCTTTAAGGCTGCCCGAAGAGAGAGGGGCAAGAATAAAACAAATACCCATCGTGCGCCTTGGAAACTCTCCTCACCCGTCCCTGGAGGGAAACTACCGTATTTTCCGGCGTATAAGACGACTTTTGATGTTAAAAAACATCCCCCCAAAATCGGGGGTCATCTTATACGCCGGGTATGCGGCTTTGCAAAGCCTCGGGGGAAGCCGGCGGCGGGGCTGTCCCGCTGCCGGGGCAGCCCCCGTCTCCAGCAGACCAGGGACACTGGGAGCAAAGGAGGAGGAGGGGCGCTGGGGTATAAGACAAAACCCTATCTTTTAACTAAAAAATTAGGGGGTCGTCTTATACGCCCAGTCGCCTTATACGCCGGAAAATACGGTAATATTTTCCTCCCGGGCAGAGGAATACTCCAAATATCATCGTTCCTTCCTTAAATAACACAGCCACCTTGTTCATTTAACACAGGCCTTTGGGAAGCACAGCTGTCGCTAGACAGGAGCCACGCGGCATGCATCTTATTACATTTGACGGATTGCCTGCAGAGCTAGCTGGCGGAATCCCCCGCAGCCTACCTGTAGACTGGATCGTGCATCACTACCATCTTGCTCTCGTCCCACGCCCATTCTTTTCTCTGTAAACAGGGGAGAGAAGACAGGAGTAAGCAGCTTGGGGCTGCTCTGCCCCGATTGCCATGCCAACCCAAGGAAACAGGGGGGTTTTCCCTCCACTAGAATGTAGGCCAGGGTTGGACTATTTTATGGACAGCCAGTTAGCCGAAGAAAAGCTGCAGCTTCGGATAGCCGTGCACGTTTCTGATCCCTACAGCTTGAAAACCGGGCAGGAGCTAGAACAGGGGTGGGCAAAAGTGCCTCCGCAGGCTGGATCCGGCCCACGGAGGCTCTGCTGCTCCCCCACCCCCAAGCCAATTAGGATCTGGGGGGGGGGGGCCTAGCAGGGGAGGGATGGGGGAAAGAGCAGAGGAGGCTTTGTGTGCCCTCCTCCGCGGCCCTGCACGGAGCCCACTTCAAAGTGCCACATGCTCCTCTGATTGGCTATGGGGGTGGGGGAGCATGTCAAGCCTCTTCCAGGGCATGGGTGCCTAGTGGGAAGGGGCAGAAAGGGGTTTTCCCATGGTCTGGAGGTGAGGTAACCTCGCCCCTTCCCGGTTAGGCCCCGCCCCTTCCTGGTTGTCCCGGGGCTACTTCAAAAATTTTTGAAGCAGCCCCTGGGCAAAATTTATCACCCACCCCTGAGCTAGAAGTCTGCTCTCACACAGGCAGGGAAAGGGGAGTTCAGCGCTGAAGACACTGGACTGACTCAGGGTTAGCAGATTTGGCGGCCATTCCCAGCTGAGCCACACAGATGCCTCAGTTCCCCATCTGTGAAATGGGGATAACAGTAAATCCCACCCTCTGGGGGTGTGGAGGATTAGCCATTTAAGGCAGAGGTGGGGAACCTGTTTTGGGTCGGGGGTCACTGACCCACAGAAAAATCAGTCGGGGGCCACACACAAGCGAGAAGCAAAGTGAGAGCCCCCCGACTGAGAAGGAAATAGACACTCCTCACATTCCCCTCGCACACCAACGTCTTGGGGACCCAGGCTAGTAGATTTTGGGTGCTCCAGCCCTGTGGGTGAGTGGCAGGGGGCAGGAGCGCTAGCACGGGCTCCCCAGTGTGGGGATCCCTAAGCCTCGGGGGCCGGATCCAGGAAAGCCAGGGTCGAATGTGGCCCCTGGACTTGTTATTCCCTGCCCCTGCTTTAAGGTATCAGTGTATGTGAGGCGCTTAGCAGAGCTGGTCAAAACCCAGCTAATTATTTTTTATGGGAATTTTTTTTAAATAATTTTTGGTGAAACTTCCCGTGAAAATGGTTTACTTTCTGGTAAAAGGAAACACCAAACCAATCCACTCCCCGTTTCAACTGTCAACACTTTTTTTCAGTCAATTGTTTCTGATGGAACATTGAGGGAAGGAATTTCTTTTATTTTGGAGGGGGGTAGAAATTTCTTTCAAGAAAAGTCATTTTTCATCAAAATCGCGCTCCCTCTGAACCACGGTGAGCAGCTCTCGCATGTGGACACAACACTGGCCCTGAGGAACAGCGGGTTGAAAAATAAATCTGATTTTGGCATCACAGAATCTTTCACTGGTCGGAATTTCCCACTAAGGCGCTAAAGTCCAGATTCCAAATCCCTCCCAGTGCCCTTCTCGCTTCCTGGCCGATCCTCACACCACATACAAAAAGCTCCTTTGTCGGAAACAAACACACCAACGGCAGCCAAATGAGGCCGCAACTTCACAAGAGACAAAAAGGGACTGGACATTTATCCAGAGAGCAGAGTAGCTGCAGTTTTCATAATTACATAGATTTTGGCAGGGTTATTAAATCCTTGTGCTTCGGCATTTAAACCTATTTCCAACTCCTGGAGATTAGGATGAGACCTAATGTGGCAGCCGGATTATCCCACAGCTGCTGACAGCGAGGATCTTACAGCTTTCTCTGAAGCAGTTCACCCCGGCCATTGTCAGAAGGATACTGGGTTTGCTGGACTCTAGGCTCTGCTCCTGCCATGGCTACCCTCTTAGAGGCGTTGGGTGTGTAGTCTCACCTTCTGCTTCTTGCGCAGAATCACTTTCACCCCATCCACAGACACGACGATGCTCACTTTCTTCTTCTTGATATTCTTTGCTTTGAATTCATACTAATGGGAGAAGGAGAAAGAAACCCCGATTAGAAGCGGTTTCAGATCAATAGTGAACAGCTGGGATGGATTTGGACAGAAACAGGCAATTTTAGATTAAAAAAAAAAAAAGCGGGCTATTTGTTAGCTTAGCTCTAGCTAAAGGAAGAGCCGTTTTCCTCCGCTGAGGGAAGTGTGTGCAAAAGGAAACTCCGGCAAAGGTGGCAGACTACTCAGGTTTCTTGTGTGTGTCTGTTTGAATTAAAAATGACCCTTTCAGAAGAAAGCAATGAGCAGTCCTGCGGCACCTTCGAGGCTAACCAAAATGATTTCTTATCTGCTTCGTTTTAACTACCCAATCTTCAGATACTTACTGATTCTCTCTAGCTCCCTGTCTCCCACCCCACTCACCGCTCTCTTTTTTTCCCATCCCCCGTCCCCTTCCCTTCTCCTATTTATTTTGAGTGTGCACATCCTAAACTTATAACTCCAGTCATCTGAAGAAGCGGGCTGTGCTCGCGAAAGCTTGTGATACCATCTACATGTTTTGTTAGCCTATAAAGTGCTAGCAGACCGTTTGTTGGTTTTTTCTGTAACAGACTAACTCGGCTACCCCTGAAACTTCAAAACATATAGACAGTATCATGTGCTTTCGTGGGCAAAACCCACTTCCTCAGAGGCCCATCTGAGGAAGTGGGTTTTGCCCACGAAAGCGCATGATACCGTCTATATGTTTTGGTTAGCCCTGAAGGTGCCACAGGATTACTTTTTTCCCCCAAAGTTACAGAGTAACACGGCGACCCCTCTGAGGCCTTTCAGAAGAGATAAACGAAACTTCACGGTGGCCGGGTGTTTTCAAAGCCCAACGTTCCCCCAGCTCTTACTGGGAGCGAGCCATGGAAATTTGGCCACGCATGCCATGTTTTTGTGGCCCGCAGCAAGAATCTGGATGTTGGCATCCACCGTAGCCAGATCTGGGACTGACAGGTAGATTCACATGCACTCATGAGGTTTTGCGCATGCTCATTATGGCTACGTCTACATTGCACGTTTTTTTGCAGAAGAGGAAATGCTAATGAAGTGCTCATTTGCATATCTCATGCTCTCATTTGCATATCTTCTGATCCTTTTTGCGGAAGAGTTTTTTGCGATAAAAAGCCCAGTGTAGACAGGGCCATTTGTCGGGAAAAAAACCCTTTTGCGCAAGTTCCGTTATTCCTCAAAAAATGAGATTTAAGTGACATAAAACGGGCTTTCAGCACAGGCCGAGGACACAGCACATGCAGTGTGGGCAAAGCTCGGGGGAGGGACTCTGACGTCGGGGGAGGGGAGGCGGTCAGAACCCGCTAGCGCATGGACATTCCATCGATAACCGTTACAGCTCTGGCAAATCCAGCCTCGGTCTCACAGGGCTGGCTCGGCGGGACACGGCTTGCAAGAAAAGCTAGAAACTGACGCGTTATGGCAGCACCACTGGCCGTTGGTTCAGGCGCTGCCGTGCACGGCGCAGGTGAGATCGGGTGCTGTTCGGAAGGAGGGCTGTAAGGGCAGCAAAAGAGCAGCCATCTTGGCTATTAACAATCACCCGCGCTGCTCAGTACCCCGGAAACCCCTCCGGCTCCTTTTAGTTTAAAAATTACGTTCTTCTGTTTCTAATGTCGCCCTTGACAAAGGCTAATGTGAGTATCAACGGCATGGGAAATTGCCTTTGCAGTGCGTTAACTAGATAATATCTTTATTCAAGGCCAAGGTGATAGTGTCGAATATGTAAATGAATTCCAGATCAGCAGTCTCCCTTTGTAATTGGGTGATAAAATTCCTTTGTAGAAGAAATGGCCATTTTTAAATCTGTGATTGAATGACCAAGGAGGTTAAAATATTCCGCCCCAGGTTTACGTGTGTGACCAGTCCTAAGGTCTGAGTTTTGTCCATTAATCCTTTGTCACAGAGACTGTTCGGTTTGGCCAATGTACATGGCAGAAGGGCATTGCTGGCACTTGATGGCATAGATCAGTGGTGGGCAACCCCCAAGGGGGTCGTGGATGTTTTCCTGGGGGGTCGCCATGGTAGTGGGCATAAGCCCTGGCCAGTCAGATCTAAGTGCCGCGCTGCGGGGCTGCCAATGGCCGGGCCCAACCCCGCCCGCCTGGATATAAGCGCCGCACCACGCTGCTCAAGTTACCCTGGGGGTCGTGACACGAGTACAATAAAATATGGGGGCTGTGGTTGAAAAAATGTTGCACACCACTGGCATAGATCACAGTAGAAAATATGCAGTAACTGGTTAATGCAATACAAAGGCAATTTCCCCTAACTTTGATATTCACAGTTACACATCAAAAGTTATGAATGGGACACTTCCAGCCTGACTCAATTAGCATCATTAACACGGGTCCTACAATTGACAGGTAATTGCTTTTGCTGTTATATAGACTCTGAATTCTGGAATTTCCACTCCAGCTCATCTGCTGAAGTGGGTTTTACTCCCAAAAGGTCATGAAACATTTGCTAGTCCCTAAGGTGCCACAGGACTCCTTGTTGTTTTTGCACATACTGACTCACACGGCTGCTTTGAGACTTGTCAGTATAGCCACAGCGATTAAGACCAGCCGACAATCAGGCCACACGTATCTATTTTAATAAAAGTACTCTGCCTTTGCTTGATGTCAGAACTGCCGCTGCTTGAACGCAGCGAGAATAAAGCCTCGTTTCAACAGTCTCACAACATAAACTCAGCTGTTCCCGAGCTGGCGAAATCAGCAAGGGAGCCATTGCATGGATTGCCTGACAGCTATAGCCATGCAAAAACAGCAGCGAGGCTGTGACCATGAATGCGACACACACTCCCAAACTGGGTCCCACAAGAGCCAGGGAGGCGCTGGATCCCGGGTAACATCCAAACGATGGCCATGCACTCAAAGGCAGCTTTCCAAGCTCAGAAGCTCCGCTACCCTCACAGGCTGTCCCGTCTCCAAAGGGGCCGGTCCTCCCCTCCTCTTCCCTCCCGGCACCCCCCTCCATTTTGATTGTAAAAGGGGAGCAGGGGGCGGGGGGAGGTTGGTTTAAGCAAAAGGACTTATTCCTGGTTGCTGCTAATTTGCAACTCAGAATAGCACGAGAAGGCTGGAGGTACCATGGGTGCTGAGTGAAAGTAGGGCACCCTCAGCCCTGCCCCTAGCCCCACCCCTTCTGCACAGGCCCTGCCTCCCATGGGAGCCAAGCCACTCCCCCCAGCATCACGGGGAGGGCGGGTGACCCACGGCTCCAGTCTCCCCAGCCCTGGAGCATGTTCTGGGGGTGGCGTGTGGGCGGGGCCAGGCTGGCAGTACGATACCTGTCACGCATGAGGGTTTGGGTTTCTCCCTGCCGGGGCAGGGGGAGATTACTGGCGTGGGCCAGCTGGAAGATTTTTTTAAGCTGAAATTACAAGATGGGGGCTGGTTTGTTTCTCGCGTTTCTTAAAACGCAGCCCAGAGTGACCACCGCAGGGCACGCCCCTTCTGCACCCCTAGGATGTGGGCCAGGGCACATCCCAGGCATCCAGCTGGACAGAGGTAGCTTCTGCAGGCAGGAGGGTTAGCTCTCATGGGCGGAGGCAGCTCTTGGCACTCGGAGAGGGGTGGGGCACAATTAACTGCGGCATTGTTTGTACTCGGCCCCAGAGCTGAGAATAGAGGAGCCTCGTCTCGCAGCCAGAACGGATTGCAGCATGTTACATGTCTAAAACAACAGGCACTGGGCCCGCCTGTGTCGTTGCTAGAGGGATTCCCAGGTTTCCCAGTGCAGAGGGCCAGTTCTGAACCCGCGCATGCTAGACACAAACGGGCGGCCCTACTGCAGCCGCCCACTGGCCCAAGCTAGACACGGTAGGCAGCCCTGGAATAACCGGCACCCAGAAAATGCTGCCTCCTAACGGTGAGTCTGGGTCTAACTACGATCTACACCAGTGGTTCTCACCCGGGTCCACAGAGGTCTTCAATGGTGGTACGTCAACTCATCAAGAGATTTGCCTCGCCGTACAACAGGCGACATAAAAAGCGCTAGCCAAGTCAGAACAAACTCAAATTTCACACGGCGACGTATTTAGACTGTCCTGTCCACCGAAATGCAAACGCCATATTCACATCCCAACGGATCCACCCTAACGACACAGCAAAAATGAGAAAGCCACCGATTTGCCAGTCGTGGTGTGCTGTGACTCCTGTGTTGGTAGAGACGAGTATGTGAGCACGGCATTTTCAAGGGAGGGGTAATGTGGGGTCTGCAGGACAAACCAGACTCTTGGGAGGACAGTCATCCGGAAAGGCTGAGCGCCGTGGATCGACAAGAGCAGAGAGGGTGGAGAAGCGAGGCAGTTCCCTTACTGAGGCACTACGCGTGAGAGAGAACACCCCGGTGAAAACCACGGCACCTTTTCTGTGCTAGAACCACCCAAACTGGAGCCGTGCCGGCCCAGTCTCCCTCTCCCCCCACACCCCTTGCCTGGGGGCCCGCAGAAGCTGTCGCCCCCCCTGGCTCCAAGCAGCAAAGTCTCTGTGCACCCATTGCAGAGACGAAGCCAAGTCCCCGGGCTCCTCGGAAACCCATTCCCCACCCCACCAGCCTCCCGGCCAGGAACGTTCAGCGGCCTCCTCGTCCCTCAGGCCTCTGCTGCGGCTCGGAACATTCCGGCACTTCCCACTGCTTGTGCCAGGCCAACCCCGGATTAAGCTGTCGCCTTTTGATCTCTTCCTGAATTACTCCTCTGAGACAAGCTGCTTAAATCTCTCGCTGTCGCGCCAAGCGAGCCACGCCGGAGCACAAGCCACAAGATGGGCTTTTACACTGAAACAGAGGAACGACCCTTCCTGGCGGCAGGACGAAAGCCCTGGCCGGAGTCGTAATTCTGGCAGACATTGCGAACTTCTCACACGCTCACTCGCTGCCAGCCAGTGCTCTTCCCCCTCCTACAACTCTAGTCAGACCCACAGTTCTACGCTGCCCCATGCTGCTTCGCCATGTGGTGACCGTGTCTGCGGCTA